GGGGGGGGGGGAGAGGGAGAGCTGGTAGATAAATTCATAATTGAAGTATTAAATTTATTGTTTTAAATATGAATAATTTTATTATTATTATTATCAGCTATATTGTATTATATTATTTTCATTAAAATGTTAAAATAGACATCGAAAAATTTATTGGATGTTTTATATGCAAGTGTTGTGTTGAAATAATACTCTTATATATTCATTAAATTCGCTTTCACTTAGAATATATTTTATTTTTAATTGATTATCATAGATATCGAGGGATCCATATCGATTAGTAACATCACACCGTATCAAACAGTAACCCTGTCGATCAGTAACACGCCTCTATGTTTAATTTAAATAAGACCTTGCCCCTTTCCTTTCACGTGTTTATTTTTAACTTATTCAACTGAGTACTTCTAACGAAAATTCTTCACCCGTTGTAATCTAAACTTTCCGTTTTTAACTATTAATTGTCTTTCAAATTCAAAATTTAGTGTGCCAACCCGAACCACAGGTTGATGTCAACCATCAAAAATTCCTTGTGTGAAAAAAACATTTCCGAATTTTTCAAATAATTCTATCTTAAATTTTTAATTGGTACCTATCTCGGTCCGTTAAATAAAAACCGTTAATATAAAAAAAATCTACGAAAATAACTAGTCAATGATAAATTAGAGTGAGTCATGTAAAATTATATTAATTATAATAAAAGCTTGGTTTCTTTTCAAAATTATCAGGTACAACACACAAACTTTAATGGTAACTAAGTCAAATGAGTTGCACAACTGTATTTAAATATTCTAATTCTTCAACTATTCTCCAATCCTAATTAGTTTTAAACAATACGTAAAAAAAAAGTTGTTTTTTTTTACACTCTAGCTATTGCCCGCGTGAAAGTATTTAGCTTTCAATTTCAACTATTTTCAAGAGATGTCGGCGATATAGTCAGAGTTTTTTGCGTAGTGAATTTTAGTAATAATTTAAAATTTATTCGGCAGTCATTAAATCATAGAAACAACCGTGAGAATGAGCTCGGGACATCTCCATCGTAAGATAAAATAGTGTGGCATATATCCACCAATAAGATTATTAAATACTAGTTCCCTAGTATATAAGACAGGTTAACTTCTATTCCGAAGTATTACAGATTCGATCTTCATCTTGTAAATACTTCTTTTTTGACGTGGTAAATATTATTTTATATATTACTCGGATTTTCTCGCCTTCGTTCTTGAAAGTATTATTTCATATTAATCGGATAATTTTTTTTGTTTGTTTGTAAATAATTCATTATATTGCACTTTCAAATTAGATATCAGTCATTCGTTGCCTATGGCAAACAACTCCGTTGAAGAGGCAAGTGCCATAAGGCAGATACCTCGAATATAACACTCACATTAAAGCAGATACCTCAAATACAACACTCACATTTATTATTTATAGGTACCTTTTGATACATGAAGGTTGACACGGCCGAAAGCAAACTCTTCCCTTAATAGACTCCATTACGTACTTTACTAATAGTACTTCCACAATATCTATGCAATGCTATTCCTCGAAAAGGGTAAGAGCTTCGTCACCTATAATTGGTAAAACAAAATTCAGTTTGAGTTTAAAACTTCTATAGCTATTTCAGAAAGGATCAAAAATAAATCTAAATAATTGCCTCGTAACTAAATTTTTTAATGAAAAAAAAGCAAAATTATTCCGAATAAATACTTAAGGTATAATTAATTTCTTAACACTACTTAAATTATTACTTAAGACAACCTAACAAAATGTATTAATAACTATGGTGTTATCAATAGATACAGAAATAACAGAGTTTATAATGCCACGTAAGAGAAATATATATTTATATATTACCAGCAAATCTATATACTTTATTCCTAAAAAATTATGTCCGCTTTTTCGAAGGGTTAAATACTTTACGTGTGAATATGATATATATACCTATATATATATATCTACAGTATAGTGATTGTATGACTTACAAAAGTACTTAATCAATACTTACTATACGACAAATATATCTTTAATATAATTTTTTATGAGAAAAATAAATCATTTTACGAAATTAAAATCAATACCAAAATAAAAGAGTATCTAAAGTGCATATTAACGTGAATCCAAGGTGGAAAGACACATTTTATAACATAAAAATTAATTTTCTTCAAAAATTATAATGGTAAAAGTCAATATGTTTTGAACTCTAAAAAATAGACACCATTCTCAAGACTCGCCAGATGTGACATGCAATCTGCCTTATTTTACCTTTCGCGGCCACTGCGGGTGTTCTAGTTTTATTTATTTCCCATTTTTTCATTGGCTACTTTGCGTTTCCTGTTTCACTCACGGCTCACTTTATTTATCTAGAATTGTTTTTCACCTTTATTTTCCGTTTTTTAATTGGCAAATTCACATTTGTTGTTTCAAATCTTTTTTAATATTATTTCCTCACATATTATTCCTCACAAAAGAAAAAATCAGGACAACATTTTTCGAAAAAAATAAATATTTAAGAACATTTTCTGGAGCATATACCATACTATATATAAAAACAGCTAACTAAAAAGTATTATTTGCTCTACTTTAGAAGAATACATAAAAGAAAATTTTATCGCTATGGAACAATAAAACATGCTATTTTTAGTTTTACAATTACTTTGTTCAAAACAGCTGTTCCAACAGTTAATTCTAACAGCTTGCAAAAAAAGTTTTATAAGTACTCAGTGATTCATAATAATTTCAAATTAATACAATGGAAAAACGTTATGATACTATAGCATTAAAAATATAAATAATAATACTCAGATCAATAGCGATTCCACAATTTAACATTTAAAAATTCTTAGATTTTATGGATTTTAATCGTTTTATTGGAATCTATCATTTTTAAAATCACATGAAAGAGTCAAATAAATGTAAGACTTTTAAACAGGAAGTCTGCAATGTTTTTTTTTTTCAGGCTCAAATCAAAAGGGGTAGCAAATGATAAGGCAGCCTTTGAGAAAATGCACCTGAAGCCAACAATTTACACAGTAGTTCAAATCTAGTGGAAATAGTTCTATGTATTATCACCTGCATATCTTTATTTTAATATTACTTGCTTTTTTTATTACAGCAACAGTTCCCAGCATATAAAAAAGAATCCTTTGAAGATTAATATAGCTAAAGTTGTGAGTAACGAGGTAAGAAAAAATATAAATTCTATTATTTTTCATAAATTTTGAGCAATTAGAAGATCATAACTTTTATGAAAACAATTTATTTAACAACTTATCAATAATGATATACATTGAGCTGACTTCCAGTCAGTTAAATTCTCTTAAAATATGCTATATACAATTAAAGTACCATCACTTTTTGAATTTTTGTCACATACATTTCATAAGAGATTTTTAATGTAACTGCTTTGAAAGAGAAAGGGCAAAGAAAAAGCACCACAAATATACATTAGAAATTACATTCAGAACAGTTATTCAATACAAATAGACTGCAAAATGAAAGAAGCAGAGTTATTCTTGAATATACAATTCATACCATTTTACTCATAAGTTCAAAATTTTATAAACATGAAAACAATTGAAAAATACATTACTCTTTATAAAGAGTAATAAACAATTTTAAACAATTGAAAACTTTTGAATATGAGTTTATCAAACATACAACTAAATAAATTATTTATTTTTATAATGATTTAAAATATTATTAAACACAAAAATTGATTTATAAAAAAAAAAATCTGTAAAAAAAAATTTGAAAAATATGTAGTTTTTCTAGAACATATAAAAATAAAAAAAAAATAAAAAATTCAAAATTTAGTTTAGGTCAAATTTTATCATGAATAATTTGAATATAAGTGAAAACTAAAAAATCAGGTAGCAGAAAACAAAAAAACATACAAATTTAATGAAAAAGATTAAATATACAAATTTTTAAACACTAATAGTTTTTGAAGATAATTTAATTATACCAACTTAAAATAATCTTTTTACAAAATAAGTAAATAAATAATAAATAAGTATTGCTTAACAATTTAATCAAAATCTTGAAAAGTAGTACTTAAATAAAAAAGGGAGGGAGCTAGTTCAGTATTTACTGAACTAAATAATTATTTACTGAACTATAAATATTTATTTATTACAAGAAAAACTAAGAATTATAACAACAATTAATGAGAAATTTTACATTTCAACTATTATTAATATATTTTTGTAGGAAAAATTATAAAAATTGCACAGATACAAATTTAAAAACTCAAAACTAAAAATAAGAACTTACTCATTAAAAATAAATCCTTAAACATTTATGTTAAACTTTCTCAAATAAAAAAGTAAAAATTAAAAAGTATTAACTTATACACTTTAATATCAATTATGTTTACGATAATTGCAAACATTCCACATTTCAGAAAAATGAATTTTGAAACAGTACACATATAATATGGACAATACTGACATAGCATGCAACATACAATCAACAACTTAAAAAAATTAAAATAATGTAAACCATTTCAAACCTAGTTTTAAACTATCATGAAGATATTACGGCAAGAGAATGGTTAAGAATTGCAAATTCAGAGACATAAATATTGCAGTGAATACAAGCTAAAGATACATTTCTATAGTCAAAAGCTAGGGAAAATATTTTATTACATTGGAATACAATCAATCGTTTTAAAATACAATGTAGCCTTAAAAATAACATGTGAAGAGGAAAATTATGTTTGAAAAACAATTGAAACATTAGAATTTCGAATATAAAAAATAAAAGATAGATAGGGACCACAGTAAAAATAGGAAAACGTTATTTTCACCAATTCTAAAAAGTATTATTTCCACAAATGTACAGTACATGAAGTGATATTACAGTACATGAAGAAAAGAAAAATACAAATTTTAAATAACAATAATTCATACATAGATTTATAAATTAATATACATATTCACAAATTATTGCATGCTTTCATAAATTATTAAACAGATTCTTTGAGGAAATAATTTGAATTCTTATTAATAAAAACGGCAAAAACATTTATAAATATTATTTCGTCTCGCACTTGAACACAAACTGGTATGAAACCGCAATGGGTAAAAAAATAAAATATATCAAAAAGCTTAGAAGATTTTAATAAATACATGCATACTTTGGTATGAATAATTACTGCTGAAATCATTNTATCAGTTATGTTTATGATAATTGCAAACATTCCACATTTTAGAAAAATGAATTTTGAAACAGTACACATATAATATGGACAATACTGACATGACATGCAACATACAATCAACAACTTAAAAAGATTAAAATAAAATAAACCATTTCAAACCTAGTTTTAAACTATCATGAAGATATTACGCCAGAGAATGGTTTAGAATTAAGAATTGCAAATTCAGAGACATAAATATTGCAGTGAATACAAGCTAAAGATACATTTCTATAGTCAAAAGCTAGGGAAAATATTTTATTACATTGGAATACAATCAATCGTTTTAAAATTACAATGCTTGTTTAAATAAAAATACCTACCAACATGCAAGGAAAATACAATGCAGCCTTAAAAATAACATGTGAAGGGGAGAACTATGTTTGAAAAACAATTGAAACATTAAAATATAAAAAATAAAAGAGAGATAGGGACCACAGTAAAAATAGGAAAATATTATTTTCACCAATTCTAAAAAATATTATTTCCACAAATAATTCTACAATTAAAATAAGAATAGAAATGTATCCAGCTGGGGGAAAATATTAAGGTCTTAGACAAAAACATTCAAATTTTTATAGTTAAAGCATAGTGATGCAAAAATTAAAAAAAAAAAAACTTTTTAATTATTTGACTTTATTATTTTTCTACAAGTAATTATTTGAAGGAAAAAAAAAACTTTGATATAATAAAATGCCATACCATAATTTAAGAATTTATGCATTTTCATTAACAAGTTTAAAGTTAAGCTAAATTTTTTTATTGAAAAAAAAAGCTATCACAAAAAGCAAAAGCTGGAAAATAATATCCAAACACATTTTTCTAAACTTAGCAGTGAATATTACAGTGCATGAAGAAAAGAAAAATACAAATTTTAAATAACAATAATTCATACATAGATTTATAAATTAATATACATATTCACAAATTATTGCATGCTTTCATAAATTATTAAACAGATTCTTTGAGGAAATAATTCGAAATCTTATTAATAAAAAAGGCAAAAACATTTATAAATATTATTTCGTCTTGCACTTGAACACAAACTGGTATGAAACCGCAATGGGTAAAAAAATAAAATATATCAAAAAGCTTAGAAGATTTTAATAAATACATGCATACTTTGGTATGAATAATTACCGCTGAAATCATTCCTAAACGAATTAAATTTCATTTGAAATCAAAAGAAACAAATGCTGATTATTTATTAATAAAGGTAGTAATACATATCAATTCTATCTCACGACAGTGATTCTTTTTCTCTTTCTAACCAAATTTTTGAATTTCAAGAATAGGACAAATTTGGACTCATAGAGATAAAAAAAAATTTAAGTCATTTTTTAAAATTATTTACTAATTTTTAAAAAGCTTCCAAGGTTAAATAAAAACTTCCTGAAATGACCTGAAACACATTAAATTTATTCAAAACACTCTTTTATGGTTTTTAACTTTATTACTATTTAGAATTAAGTGTGAAAATATATTTATTAAATAACATAATTACAGGTAGATGTACAGAAAATAGCTTAGAAACAAGAGATATAAACTATAAATCAATCTTCGGCAAATCATCCAATTATCTCCAATTCCTGAAGGGAAAAAAAAGTTTAAATGCAAGAACTATCAACATTCGACAAGACCTGCGAAATCTTTGTTGATCCATTCAATACATTAGAGATAGTCATTGAAACAGATGCTTCATCTTGATCAGTACCATGCACAGCATTATGATCACTTTGGAGTATTGCGTCACAGTTTAGTTCGGAGGTGTCCGTGAGATTATCTCCGGCAAACTGAACACCAGCCAAATCTGTAGCTGCTTGGGCATTCTCATCATTTTGCTCATCGTTGGGCAATACTAGAGAAGTGGTGGTGCCATCCTGCTGTTGAATTGTAAAATAATAAGGTTCGTTTTCCAGATCCTGACCAGATGGCAACTGTATGGTGATTGTTTGAGTGCCATCCACATTAGAATCTCCCTGAGGAATGTTCACAGTAATTCCTGGAGGAAGATTTACTGTTCCTCCATCTTGATTTAGTGCATTCAAGCAACTATAAATCAGCTGAGCGGCCGTGACATTGCTGGGAAGAATACCTTCTAATTGTTGAACAGCATTGTCTGTAAGTTGCATTTCAACTGAAGATGGATCAGTAACAGCTGTTTCAAGAGGCCCCTCCGGTATGCTGGCCGAGGCAGAAGCAGCCTCGAGTTCAATGTTGGAACCTTGGCGCTCGTGGTCAGAAACATGGTGTAAAAAGTTCTCTTTACTTACAGATTTGAAGGAACAAAAGGTGCAGGAGTATAAACCTTCCATTCCTGGATGTTTGTTGCGAAGATGTGTTTTATAGGAAATTGCCTGAAAAATAAGAAGTTTTATAGAAAATAAATTTGATTAAGATTGAAAGATTTTCATCAATGAATATCTGTTTGTTGATTCATAATTATTATTAGGACAAAAAATGTTATGTTATCAATAGAAAAAGCCTTTAGTAACATATTGAACAGATAACGAAATTTTTTTTGCTATAACCAATTTTATTTTTACCTTTAAGTCTTTGGAAAAAAAAATGATAGGCACTCCGATTAAGCCAAAGTATATGACTTTTCACACTTATTGTCTAATTTTTATAATTACTTTGTGTATACCCGTATTTTAGATTGTTGAACCAAACTATGCATTTTTTTTAATTTTGTTAATTTCAGCATTCAATATAAATATTTTATATCCACATAATATACTACCCTATAATAATAAAAGAGACACTCAGTTTTGAAAAAAATTTTTAAGGTAATACTTAGAGGATTATTTTATAATTTTAGAGGTATTTAGTTCATATGATTTTTCATACTTAGCAATAAGGTTTTAAGTTTTAAGAGGTAACATGTACTACAAGAAATGGTTAAATTTTTTCCTTTTATTAACTTCCCTATTCAAATGAACACATCTTTATTATTAATCAATGAATGCATTCTATTCCCCAATATATGTGTATTTAAATTATGCAATATGTACATTTCTCTGCTGTTCACTTTATTTATTTATTATTATTATTTATTTTTTTTTTGCTCATCTTTAAGTAGTGCAGTGTCCCTCTTTCTAATTACTAAAAGATCTTTTGCATTCCCCTTTTTATTTTTTTACAATACTGGTAAATATCCTTAATTGAAGCCAAAAAATTCCTGAGTAAATATTTTAACATTTTAAGCCTTCCTTAAAAACAAATTTTTTTCTGAATGCACCTATCTTTTTGTTTAAAAAACAGTACAAGATTTTTCGCAGTGTCTATTGACGATTTAAACAAGCCACAACTTAATTTTTTTTCGTAAAAAAAAAGCTACATATTGTTCTCTGCTAATCCTAGTTAAAAGTTTGTAAATTTCTTACTCATCTTGGGTGGTGCAGTGTCTTAAAAACAGTAATTAGCTGAAATTTTCAGCCAATAGAAAACAAACTCACAGTGAAGTCACTGAGACATCAACCAATTGTTTAGAATTTGGAAAGCCTCACTCAAGACCCTCAAAAGACTACTGGAAAATTAACAAAACTAAATAAATACAGAATTAAGCTGGAAAAATGTGTGTTCTGTGAATGAAAAATTTATGTGATAATCGCAGGGTCAAGAAAAGACAGCTTTATGTTTCCTTTTTAGAATAAAGAGATAAAATTTGCTGTCAAGAAACTTCCAACTTAGCTTTGTTTTTTTTGTTTTTTTTTTTTTTGGACAAAAATATGCAGATGTGGCTTGTTTAAATCGTCAGTAGATAGAGAGAAAATGAAATCTTATTCTGTTTTTTTTTTTTAAACAAAAAGAGGAATGCATTCAGACGCCTGGTGGCTGAGTAGTAGCGCTTTGCGCTCCCGTGCCACAGGTCCTGGGTTCGATCCTCGGGTCAGGCAAGGTTGACTCAGCCTTTCATCCCTTCAGTGGGTCGATAAATGATTACCAAGCATGCTTGGGAACTAAACACTGGGGGTTCCACGTTTGGTTGACCACCTAACCGGAACATCTGCTATTGCACCCCAGAGCCCAAGGTCTAGAAAACTGAGATGGGCACAGTAGGCCTTGGCCCTCTATGGGCTGTCAGGCCACTGAGTTTAGTTTAGTTATTTGGAATGCATTTAGAAAAAATTTTTGGGCAGGGGCATTCAAATGAGAGAAAATGCCCTTAATTTTTATTATAATTTTCAATCCTTTTCAACAGAAAAAAAGAAGAAGTGTTTCCAGGAAAGACTCAAGTTTTTTTAAAAATTACCTCGGAAATTTTGTGTTTTCAACTGAGGTTGTTAACCAGTAGAATAAAAAAAAAGAGGAATGCAAATGATCTTTTAGTAATAAAAAAAAGAGGCACTGCAATATCTCAAGAGGAGCAAAAAAAATTAATAAAGTACACAAAAGAGAAATGTTTATATTAAACAATTTAAATTATTAACTTAATTATTGGGGAATAAAATGCTTTCATAAATCAATAATATAAGCATGTCTATTAAACAAGTTAATGAGAAAATTCAACTATTTCCAGTAGTATGTATTGCAAAATTCAGAAGTTATATATATGTTGCGGATATAAAATATATTCAGTAATTAATAAAATATTTTTTGTTGAATAGTGAAATTAACAGAAAAAAATACTTAGTTTGTGAACCAAACTAAGTATTTCTTACTACCTAAAATATGGATAATGCGCAAAGTAATTTAAAAAATTAGACAATTAAAGTGAAAATTTATCTAAAAAAAATGAAAGGCACTGAGATTAAGTCAAACACTTAAAGGTGTAATAAAATTAAAAGGTTAATAAGATTTCACAGGAAGGAGAAATAATACAAGGAGTGATCAAATGAAAAGGTACGAAACGACGTAAAAACTTAACAGTTTTAAATATTTGCATATTTCGCCATGGGAGAACAAAACAAGACATCTAGGGATGCGATTGCAGTCTCTGACTGTGATCGGAGAATGTGCGGGCGCCAGCATGCGCAGGAGAGAGCAGAGGCTCTTATCAAAAGCGGCGCCCAAATGATGCGGTAGTCCGTATGAGGACAGGACGGCGTTCACGTTGCAAAATTCGAGGAGCAGAGAGGTGTTATCCGATTTCAAACAGCGACGACGCCTATGCAGGTCCATCAAGAACAAAAGACCGGGGCTGCTCACAGAGCGTGTGGTTCTGTTCCATGATAGCGCACGTTCTTACGTCTCCAGAGTCACACACATGGAACTGGTCAAGTTCAAGTGGGAGACCTTGGAACATCCGCCCTACAGTCCGAACATGTCGCCTTGCGATTTCCATGTGTTTTGACCACTGAAGAAACACCTGAAAGGGAAGGGCTCGGACGATGTACTCAAGGACGCTGTGAAGGACTGGGCTCGTCACGGCCACAGGAATACCGGGAACAAGGAATCCTGTGGCTTGTTCATCAGTGGGGATCGTTGTGCTCAGGCCTATGGTGTATATTTTGAATAAAGTCTACATTTCTACCCACCGTGTCGTCTCGTACCTTTTTCATTTGATCACCCCTTGTAGTTGAAAAGGTTATTCAAATTTGCAAAAGGATTTAGACATTAAAAATTTTAAAACACAGAAAATTTTGACAATGGAAATATTACATCCCTCACATGTTTAGTTGGTAATGTCACCAAAAGTAGATTGATGTAAACTAACAGCAAACCCATCACCTCTGTTCCAAGAAAAATTGCACTGGTCCAGGTAAGAAAAAGCAATTAACTTGTTGCACAATAAGCGAATTTGCCACAAAGGTCAGGGTGAGAAATTTACTTCCATTGAAAGAAAATGTTTAATTCATGTTAAAATGGTGAAGTTAGTTTTAACTTTTGAATTAAACTATGCCATTATTATTTTCCATCATAACCTGATAAAGAAATAGTTTTCTCCAAAATTTAGGAAAATTTGTGTTAAGTGCTTTTGTTTTTAAAAAAAGGTTCGACTGCATATACAAATACAAAATATAACCAGGTATTATTCAGCAAACAAATATTCTTAATTTCTTAAACTCTTAAATTTCACGTTTAACATTTCTTTTAGCAAAGAAGCTTAGCAAAGATTTTCCAAAGGTAAGTTCCAATAACATAAAATCTTATTTTAAAATGCAAATTTTAAATATAAGCAATGATAAAAGGATCAGAAACAGTTTCATTGTATTTAAATGTCATAAATATATTAGCATAAAATTTTAAATAATTTACGATGCATGTAAAATGTGTACACAAAAAATAAAAACAGAAGGTAGAAAGTTATTTTGGGAAACAAAAAGTTTGACCACTTATTTAAAAATATTAACAAATCCATAAAATTATTTCACACAAATTAGATTGTGTGAAAATCTCTCCTTTTAGTTCATGCCTACTTGTCAAACCTTTTTTACCGTTAAAAATTCTCCCTCAATCTAAACAAATGTTGTCACAATCAAAATTTTACTAAATTGATCACCAGCTAGCACAACTGTATTTTATAATGCAGGAATTCAATAGCAGGGATAAAAATTAAGATTATTTAGTCCATGGTCCCAGGGACCAGTAACTAAAAGATATCACTAAATCTGTACACATTTTTAGCAAAGAAAAAAAAAAAGAGGAACAAAATAAAACTTTTCCAGATCTTGTAATGAAAATTAATTTCTCTTCAAACTCAAGTAACTGAATTAAAATTACATTAAAAAATTTTTTTGGGTGCAAATTTTAAGACATGACTAAAGTTTTAACACATTAACTAGTTTTGAAGCAAAATTCGCAAAAGAAATCTGAAAACATAACTAACCTGAATACAAGCATATGGACAATGAGGACACTTGTAAGGCTTTGCACCAGTATGCCTCATGCGATGCCTTCTTAATGAATTATGGTCCCCAGTGCGATAATCACAGTGCTCGCAAACAAAAGGCTTTTCTCCTGTATGTTGCCTCATGTGTAATTGGAGCATTGCCTTTCTTGCACTCAAATGTCCACAAAATGTACACACATATGGCTTTAGTTTTTTGTGTACTGCTTGCTTATGTTTACGCAGACATTTGGCATCTGAAAATTTGCGACCACAAATATCACAGAGCTGCTCACTATACCAACGTTTCTCCGTAATGCTTTTACGATCTAGATGGATGACTACATGATTACGAAGTTGGCTTATTTGCTTAAAGCCTTTACCACAGGTTTCACATACATAAGACCTCTCATCACTATGTATTTTCTGAAACATCAAAAGATCAATTAATAGCAATTAAGTAACTATAACAACTACTAATATTAATTATGTAAAATTATATGACAAATGTATAATATTTCCTAAACATTTAGTCCTTGGTTCCAACAAGCCCTCCCTTGTCGTGGTTAGAAAATTTTGGGTTGAAACAAAAGTTTAAATTAAATCACATTTAACACCTTAAATCAAAAGTAACTTAACCATTGAAATATATTTCATAAAAACTCTTTTAACAATTAATATTTTCAATTGACAATACAAGAAATAGTCACTTTTGTTCTTCAAAACGTAAATTAAGCCATGAACTAGGCAACCTTGTCCCTAGTAGAAAAAATATCCCAGTTGTTAATGATTACTAGATGCTTTATAGATTTAGTTTCTATAAATTATTATTATTAGTTTCTATAAATTAATATTATAAATTATTTCTATTTAAAATTATGTTGGTTAAATAGACATTGCTAGATTTTCTGCGAACATAAAATCTCAATTGAAAAACTTGCTGCAAGCAATTTATTGACTCATATATTTAGTTTCAAACTTATCACCACTACCAAATTTTGATAAAATTGCTTATAAATTGCTGATTTTTTAAAACACTGATTAAATTTTTATTTAACTCTATAATTACTATACCACTAGCATACTTTTCCTTAAATTTAACAATTTTATGAAGATATAAAACTAATTATTGACTTACAAAATTTTCTGCTGTTGCATCTAAATTTTTAAAAATTGATTGCAAGATATGATATAAGAATTTAGACGCTTATAGAAGTAATATTAAATGCTTTCTGCAAACAGCATTCGTGTATATTATGTGTATCTAGATATTGCTTTTAGAGATTTAGTTTCAGCAACTTTTCCTCTGAAATTATTTAAACTTTCAAATGAAATACTTTGCTTCCATATGATTCAATGTAAAATGGCCTTCTGAGTCCGAATATGATTCCCGTTTTCCTCTATTTTCTGAAAGAACCCCACATCTGCATTAACCACCTTTTGATGATTTTATGGTCACAAAATTGAGATGAAGAAAGAATAAGTGATTATTTTTACTGTTAAATTCTTATGAGGTGATAGAGAGGTGAAAAGTTCTAAAACATTATCAGGGTGCGTAGCTAAATCTTTGAACAAAAAATAAGCACCTTTTAAGTACTTTTCAAGCACTTAAAAAAATATATTTAAGCACTATATACATTAACAAAATGCAAAATAATTTTCAAAGACTTAACATGATCATGATAAAATAACTAGTTTCTCACAAAACACTCTTTTCTTGATTTTATTAGCCACCATAAAGAGATAGAGAGATTTTTCGGTTCAAAAACTGAGGGTGGAAAATGAAGCCTGAAATTGAGTGCTAGAATATCACCAAACTCAGCTCAGTAGACGCATATGCGGTCTTGCAAGTATTTCATAAGACATGTAAAATTATTGCCGCTTTCATACGCTATGGACCGACAATAGACTGAAATGGGTTGTGGTTGAATGAATTGTAAAAACATGAATAGAACAATGTGTAAACCAGGCCCTTGCATAATGCGAACCGAAAATTGACATGTTAAAGGAAAAAAAATCTCTTTTTCGAAAAGGGAATATCAAGCACTTTTAAAAAACACACAATAAAAAAAAGCACCTTTAAGGGCTTTTAAAAAACGAAAATCGAAAATAAGCACCTTTAAGCACTTTTTAATATGCTATACACCATGGTTATGGCAAAGAGGAAGATTTGGGGGAAGAGGAAATAAAATCTCTTAGGGAATTATTCAATCTTTGAAGAAACAATTAATTTATCATTAAGCAAAAAAAGATCTTAACCATGGGGTTGACATGCAAAGACAGCAGGGACAAAAACTCTACTTTAGGATATAAAATATTCTTTCATAGTAGGTAAATAAAAAAGATGAATAAACAAACAGCAATAATTGCAGAAAAATAATGGTTTCAAAAATAAAGCAAAGATTACACAAAAGGTTTAAAAATAAAAAAAAAGGAAAAAAATTTAGAATTGAATAGCACAACGTCAAAGAAAGGAAAGGATATGAGAAATATATGGTTTGAGAAACAGGCACACAGGTTGCTTTGCAACAATTTTTTTTCTTCCCTTGAACAAACTAAAAAAAGCTAGTGCATTAAAAAATTTGTATTATGAATTTTACTTTAACTTTTTAATACACATTTACATGAAAAATGTAAATGTGCATTAAAAAGCAAATTAATAATTTCAGTTTTTTTACATGAACCGATAAATGAATAACAGCAACTGAAAACGTACTGAATTTCTTGAATATAATTAGAAATGTCTTTTTTGTATCCAAAAATTTATTGACTTTGGTAAAAATTTTGCCACTAATGCACAAACAAAACAGTTAAAAATTTAGATTATTTAAAAAATAGCAGCAATTCCAAAAGAAAAATTAGCCATTTTACAGTAAATATTCGGCATAATTTAATTACAAAATTAAAATTGGTTAATTTTCATCCAAAATATCTTAAAATCATGTGATTATTTCATGATCTAAATGGAACTTTTAAAATTGCTGCTATTAAAAAGGGAAAAAAAAACTTTTTGTGGGCATTTTTAGGTTCCTTCATTGAATAGTTTATTTCCATATTATCAACATAAAACATTTTTAAGTCAGCAAATATGATTTCAAATAGACTTACCCTATGGTTATTAAGTTTAAATAAACTGAATGTTTTGTAGCTGCAATCAGAACAAGAAAACAAATCAATGTCAATAGAATGCTCTTTCCACAGATGCATCACAAGTATTCGCCAGAGTTCAAATCCTTCATTGCAAACTTGACAAACAAAAGTTTTATCAATATCCGAGTGAGATGCATAATGATACAACAAAAATGCTTCAGATGAAAATTTACATGCACAACCAGTTCTTGTACACCTGTAAGAAATTTAACATACAATTTCAGTTCTTTAAAATGAAGAGAGAAAGCAAAAAGGGAAAAGCTTTAATTTCAAAATTCAATTATATAAAAAAAATCTCTTTTTAAAGACTTGAAATAAATTATGTGTAATTTAAAGCTGTAAATCTACATTAACAGTTTATTCCTGATTAGTAATTCTCTTATTAAACTATAACATTTAAGCATGTAAATAAACAATAAAACAAAACCATAAGAATAAAGAGTACAATACATTATTAAATTGAAATTTCAATAGCTAGTGAGTAGATGCCATTTTCTTCTGTTCAGACAAGAAATTTTACTTCAATGTTTAAATGCTAGTAAATTTTATAATTTACAATTTTATTTGATTTACAATGATTTTGATCACAAATTTATGCAATCAATTTGAACAAATACCATACATAAATTGCCCCCCTATTACGACAATGTTAATGGAGTTGCATCAAATCTCCGGAACATGCAAAGTCTGGCGAGTTTTCTTTTGCTATGTTGTTTGGTGATTCTCATTGGTCAATCCATATAAATGACCATGAAGACCTGCATACAAGTAAAAATTTTATACCCAGAATAGATCGAAGTAAAGAATTGGATCATTGAAATAAATAGTTGTTATTGTTTAACAAAAATATCTAATTCATACTCAAGTTTATTTAGAATTACATATTTACTCTGAGAAAAGTACTCACAAAACATACAATTTTAAATAACTACACAAAAATGCAAAATAACACTTTTAACTAAAGCAGTGGTTGGAAAACTGTGGCTTATGAGCCAACAGTGACTCTTTGGCTTCTTGATTGGGGCTCTTCCACAAAATAGCTCATAAAAATAAGGTTTTTGAAAGAGATTTCAATTGTTGAACTATTGATAAGTGCCTCAATTAATGACTTTATAAACCCAATGAACTAAAGCATATTAAGACATTAAATATGAATTTTAGAAAACTTATTTATAAAAGATTCTAAATAGAAAAAACTTTAAAATGTTAGAATAATGAGAATGGTCAACAAAATACAATTATCTATTGCAAAAGATAATCACAATACAATATGGTAAATCTGAGTTGATTAATCTAACAATATAATGAAATAAACTTTTCAAAAGCTTTGTTTATATTTAAGTAATGTCAAAATTACAGAGGAAACAAAATCATACTTTATGTATATGTCAACATTCTTGAATCTGCAATAAAATTGATGAAAATATTAAGTTTTTTTCTCTTCAAAACAAAGTTAGTATTTTCTCATCAAAGATATGTGATGATAAATTAAATGTAGTAGTACTCAAAATGTAGAGCAGATGGGTCATTCTCTACAAATAAACTATTTTCAGGTAGTGAAAACAAGAGAAAAAACTTTGTGTCATAAATAATTCATTACAATAAGATACAGGATTTGGTGTGGGATACGCTTAAATTGGTGTGGGAATAATATTTTTAATGATTATAAAGTATTTGTCTATTCTTGATTCTTTTAAAAACATTTAAAATCGAAAAAAAAATTTTTTTTTTAATTAGCCTTTAAAAACATTAGAATCAATCCCTCAAAAAGTGTCATTTTCACACAATTAGGAATGAGAAAATAACATTTGCTTTAGAAGTTAATACACATAAAAAAATCAAAATGACGATAAATATACTTAGACTACCCCATTAGAGGAAATTATAACAATCTTCAGAAAAAACAAGAATCTCAAACAAACAAACCTCTTCACATCTTTTAAAGCTAACTAATTTTTACGAAATAAAATTAAATGCAAACTATAACAAAAAACATCATTATTTATTTAAAACAGCTTTCATTCATAATTGGTAAATTTGTTTTTACACGTAATTATATCAGCTGGGATAATTTTTATAGACACTAAAGTTTATTCTTAGATCTGCCTTTTCATAACGTGAACAGAGGAGGCATTTTCGCACCAAGATGTGTTCACTGACTAAAATTAAAATCGTTTGCAAAAAATTATGCACCCTCAATAACAATTTTTATGTTAATGAGGTAGCCTATAAGAACGAACAACCTCCATCAACGACCATTTTACTGTGGAACAGAGAGTGGCCATTCCCGAGAGGTTTAACTGTATATAAATAATCATATCTATGAAACTATTAAATATCCTATTTTTTATGATATTAAAATTGAATTAGATTTTTAAAATTCTTTTTAGTGATGTACAGTTAAATTTAAAAAGGATTTAATATTCAAATTAAGTACAGAAAGAAATTGAGATTTACAATTTTTTTGCATATTAAAGAAAAATGTGTAAAAAAGGAAGTTTTTTTGGTAAAAAACATTGAAAAGTTTATTCGACCTATAAATTATTTATTCAATTTTTATAGATATTTACTTTTCAATAGTTATTTATAAACCTTCTTAATATTATTTTCAACTAATATTATGTCTTAATTTCTATTATTATTCTAAATTAAGACTTAAACTATAAGTGGAATTCCTGAATCATATAAAGTAATCCTGTCCTATTACATTAATACATAGCATTTTTATGAAGAAAAAAATTGAAAATAGTATGTAACTTAATCATTTTGCAATTATTGAACAATAAATAAGTTATATTTACTTATTTAAAAAGCTCTATATTAACAGTTTCCAGCCAAAATTTGCAATTAAAATAAAGAATACAAAACTTTTATTATTAGGCATTAACTTTACAAAACTTTACTTAACAATAAGTTTGGCAAAAAAAAAAAAAAATTTTATAGTCAAAATTAGAATATAGTTAGTTATATAGTATAGTTTTATAGTATAGTTAGAGTATAGTTTTATAGTCAAAATTAGAATATATTTTGTTTAAAATTATAAAATTTTAAACAAAACTGTAGATTAATTTGCTATGGTAAGCAGAAATTTGAGTTTTACCCCAATAGACTCTGGGGGGGGGGGCTAAATCTATGCTAAGGCAACAAAAATATTGATATCTTTAAATTTAATACTTTTAAATTATATAAACTTCTGTTTCGTGCTAAGAAATAAAAACAATAACCTTGCATCGATTAATATTCACATTCATAATTATTTTATCTATTGATAAACAAAGCAAAGAATTTTGTAACAAAACAAAGAATTTAACAAAAAGAGACCGATATTCAAACAATCAAAATTTTTAATTAGGACTGATTAAATGAATGTATACTTAGTATACATTCATTTATTTGATACTTAGAATTATTCTAGCTTTCTCTTACAGCTATTTACCTACAAAGAAAGCAAAAGAATTTTTAATGCATATTTTTAAAGTTTGATTATAACAGTCTCTTTTCTACTTGCATTGGAGAAATTATAATAGGGAGCTTATGTTTCCTTATTTTCTTATATAACTCAGTTTTCCTGTCTCCTCTTTGGTTTTGGCATAGATTACGCATATCCCGTAAGAAAAACTGTAAAACACTTTTGAAGATAATGAAATTTGAACAATCAGACAATTTTTCACTGACAACTTCAACAAAATAATTTCAAGAAGTTAATAAAAAATTTCCTAATTAATAATAATAGAGTTTGGCTCATAATAATGGAGTTTGGCCATTTTACCTGTACGTTTTTAGAGTATCTTTCTTTGCTTTCTTTTTAATGCCACATTCAAAGTCTTTTACTAGGATTCTTGGAGGTCGAGATTGTCGTTTCCTTTCTTTAGGAGCATTCTCATTGGCAAGAGCGGGAGGTGGTGGATCATTAGTTTCTTTAGGTAAATGCTGCTTTCTGGGACGCCCTCTTTTCTTCAAGGGTTTTATATCGTTTTGTTCAAGCTTCAAATCATGATCCTATAAAAAATAAGGAAAAACATATGAATATTGCAAATAATAAAAAAACGGTAGCTAAATAATGAATCAATTATTTAAAATAGTTTCATTATTTACCTATATTAGTATCATATCATTTCCTATCATATGATACATTAAGTATCCGATGATTTTAAAATAATAACAAAATTAGAAAAAAAAACAGTATACAAACATGTAAGTTTTAATTGCAAATTTTACATTAAAAAATGGGAAAAGATCAGCCATAAAGCCACTTATATCATAATTTTACTTAAGTTTTGTAATCTTGCTGTATTAGTCTTATAGTATTACATCTTATTTATTCTTTTATTTAAACCTCAATTCTCCAAATTGCTATTATACTTCACTTCACATAATGTAGCAAATATAAACATCTATTTATCGTTATAAAAACTAGAGATTAATAAAGAAAAGTTCCATACTACTTTCCTTCTGTTAAATAATAATTTAAAGTCATGTTTCAATTACTAAAAAAAATCACTAAATAGTAATTTTGTCCCATTAAAATTAATAATATATAATTATAATTAAAAACTATTAGGTATAGTTTTAATTTACAAAATACAAAACTATTCAGAGAAATATCCATTTAAGATCAAAAAGTATGTGTAGTATCAAATCAAATTGTCATAATATAAATTATAAAAATATGATAATGCAATACTTGGATATAGTTATGAACTTTAAGAAATTACCACTTTTTTAACAAAGCACTTGCAAAGATATTTTTAACACAATATTCTTTAAGGAATTCTACAAAATTAAAAAGAATTCAAAAAGAAATGTCAAGGATTTTTCGTTAAACCCCACAAAATAGCAATCGAAAAATTTATGTGTATGTTAGGTGTTTAAAACTTGTTTTAAATTCTGCAAAATTAGAAAGTTTTTTTTATTTTCAGTTACTACTTAATATAATTTAATACCTGAATATAACAGTCTTGAAAGGTAAACAGAAAAAGAGAAAAAATTGGCAGTAAAACCATTCCATCATTAACCTGTTTTTTTAGAAGCAGTAAGATATATACGACTAACTAGGCATATTAATAGTTTTAATGCATATTTTGCATGCAAAAGCTTTTCCAGTCATGATTTTTAAAATTAAAGTGAAAGTAGAATTATAAAGCATTTACCAATCATAATCATAAACTATTCACAGCAATTCACTTTTTTCTTCTTTTTTTTTAAATAAGAAACAGACTTCTTTATATACGGGTCATAATATTTAATAAATCTTGTTTGTCATAGATAACTTACTCCTCCCAAAAACAAGCTAGAAATTATAAGGTATTCCTCCCAGTTTTCCGTTTTATGCTCCTGATATACATATAATCTTGTAGTTTTGAAATATTATATTTAAAAGAGTAGATATAATAGAAAAATAACTTAACACTTCATAAATTTGATAAGTTATAAAAAAGCAGTATAATTATTTCATAAATTTAAGAGTATTACAATCAAACTTCAAACTGCTTATATATCCTACACTCTCATTGAATAACTAAAAAATTTCGCACTTTGCAAAAAAAAAAAAAGGATGAATTTTCAATAAGTATTAAGGTGGATTTCTTCCTTTATATTTAAACATGGTGCATAGCCAAATCTTTCAACAAAATATAACTTTTCAAGCACTCAAAAAATATTTTCAAGCACTATATACATTAACAAAATGTAAAATAATTTTCAAAGACTATACATGATCATGATAAAATAACTAGTTTCTGACAAAGAACTCTTTTCATGATTATATTAGCTATTATAAAATGATCAAGAGAATTTTCAGTTTGGTTTGATATCAGAGGGTGGAAAATGAAGTCTGAAATTGAAACTATCTTGCAAAATGCAGCAGAGTTGCACATGAGAGTGCAATAATCTCATCGAACTCTGCTGAGTAGATGCACATACGAACTCGCAAGTATTTCATCAGACACATAAAATGATTGGCCCTTTCATACACTATGAACAGACGGCATGCCGAAATACATTGTGGATGAATGAATTGTGAAAACGTTGAATAGAAAAATGTGAAAAGGAAGCTTTCGCATAATACATGGAAAAAATCGACGTGGTAAAGAAGAAAAAAAAAAAATTTTTTTCAGAAAGGGAAATTTAAGCACTTTTCAAAAACACCCAATGAAAAAGCACCTTTAAGGGCTTTTAAAAAACGAAAACCAAAAATAAGCACCTTTTAGCACTTTTTAAAAATGCTACGCACCATGCTTTCATTACTGAAATTAGTAATGAAAGAGTTCATGATTGAATTTCTAAATTATAAATATCTGAAAAATATATATAAACTTTTGAGAACAAATAGAAAATTGAAATGCAGTCATACTTCAACCATATGTTGTTTACATTCATCAAGAGATGCAAAACCCTCACTGCACTGACCACAAAGAAAAATATGCCTTTCAACAGGTGAATCAAGAGAGCTTGAATTTTCATTATCAGTGTCAATCTCGGAATTTTCAAAAAATGGATTTGAATCTTCTTTATCAGAACAATCCTTCTTAAACTTATCAGTCAGTGAATTGCTTGTTTCAGGAGAACCTATTTTTCTTACATCCAGTTCAACACTAGGATTCTCCGATTGTGGAAGAGCACAGCTACTTATTTCCACAAAGTCCTGATTACATTGATTAACTTTTTCCGTGAAATTGCAGTTCTCTGCTTGCATATTGAAACTTTGATCTTGAGAAGCGATGCAGGGTTTTGACTGAACAAGCTCGGAAGTTTTTTCCACTGGATTGTATGCACAGTTTGAAGAGGTTGCTAAATTCAATGAGTTTTCTTCAACTGTAAAATAGAAGTATTTTAACAAAAAGTATAAAATTTAAAAGATTGGATTAAACTAAAGAATAAGTCAATTAACACATATTTTTGTGAAAATATTGTTAATGTTTAACACATAAATTTCTTCTATGTTTATAACAATAGTCAGGATGTCAACGATCTAAAAATTCTCATATAAAAATGCAACAAAATGAAAAAAAGAGAGAGAGAGAGAAAGTCTATCAAAATTGACCTTAAAACGAAAAATTGATGTTCTTTATATTTTTCAAAATTAAGTTTTATTTACTTTAATAAAGGCAAATTTATTATACTGTATTATTGATTGGGATTGATTATTTTTAAAATCAGAAAAAGGGTCAAAACAATAATTGTGAAACAACAAAACTTCACTCTACAAGATTTGCTAGTTCGTTTGCTGAAATTAATAAATAAGCATTTGACCTCTGAATTAATCACCATAAAAATTTGATATTGCATTGCAAATTGTTAATTGAATTACGTTTTACGGACCGTATACCCCAAAGATCTGAATCAACAAATTTTTCGGGTAAGATCCTAAGCTTCCTCTATGTATATAAATAACAGATGACTTCTCAGTTTAAACTATTGAATTCTGCGATTTCTATTAACATTATTAATTAAAATAAAAAGATGCTGGATCAAAAATCTAAATCTTTTGATTCATATCATTTGATTTAAAATCAACATCTAAATACATAGAAAATGAGATTTTCTGAATGCCCACAAAAATCAAGAATACTAGTACTAAGAGCTAAAAATCAGAAAAAATAAGGACAAAATATTTTTTTAACGTGAAAATCAAAAGTATCAGATACATTTCATACTAGATGGATCAAAAATATTTCAGCAAAAGGATTAATATCAAACACAATTAAAAATATGTAATATGTAAGCACATATGAAAACAAATGCTCACGCAAATTTTATTTAAAAAAAATTAAAATTTATATGCTAACTTTGATAACCCTATAGCAGGGTGCGTAGCCAAATTATTCAACAAAAAATAAGCACCTTTTAAGCACTTTTCAAGCACTCAAAAAATAATTTTAAGCACTTAAAAAAAATATAATTAGACACGGTTGGAAAGTTTTTGACAAATGGCGATTTATCTTGTTTTAACCGTCATGTCAAAAAAAATTATGGCATTGTTTTTGACAATTGTCAAAAATCATGAAATTTTGAATCGTGTAAAACAAATGGCGTTTTCATGCGCTTCGGACTGACAATAAGCCCAAATAGATCGGATTTGAATTAATTGAGAAAACGTTGGATAGAACAATGTGAACTGTGGCTTTTTGCATAATTCGTAGCAAAAATCAACATGGTAAAAAATCTTATTTTGAAAAAGGAAAGATTAAGCACTTTTTAAAAACACCCAATGAAAAAGCACCTATAAGGGTTTTTAAAAAATGAAATTCAAAAATAAGCACCTTTTAAAAAGGCTACGCCTCCTGTATAGGAAGGGTAATGAATGCTATATCTTTTTGTTTATACCCTTGATTTAAATTAGTAGTTTGATAATAGTAAGACATAATGTTCACATACATTTAGAAACACCCTACACTGTTGATAATAGTCTACTCAAAATGAGACCAGAAAGGGTTAGCTGCTCTAGATAAATGATGAAAAAAATGAAATCAATAAAAATATTGAATGAGAAATAAATTATTATTTAGCATGGCCATAAGACCGGAGAATAAGTTTTAGTAAAAATTCATTTACACAAATACAAAAAGAATTGTATTACCATTGGGATTCTTCTCTGCTTTCACAGTAACAATGTTCTGTTTTTCATTAATATGGCAACACCTAATGTGCGACATCAATCCAGCCTTCCAAGGACACGAAAAGCGACAGAATTTACACTTATAAGTTGTTACGACGTCCATGAAATCTTCGAGTCGAGGGATGGGAGTTAACAGATCAGCATCACTTTCCTGATTTGTCAGCAAATCTGATGTGAAAGAATTATCCACCATAACACCAGATTTATTTTCACACAAAATACTATTTTCTTGAGCTCGGAGGAAACTCTGATCTACCGACTTATCATCCGTTGGAAAATGAACAGCATAAACTGAAGATGGATCATCTATAAAAATAAGGCAAAAAAATTATTAATTAAATTAATATTCTCATGAACAACATTAAAAAATTTACAAATGTTTTAATAAATGAAAATAATACAACTCCCAATAAAATCTGAAAAGAATCTTTACTTTTGACTTTTCTGCTTTTTTTATTATCTATTATTTGACAATTTACTACAAAAGAAATTTATAGTCTATAATTTAAGCTAAACTAAAAATTATTAAATTAAAAACAAAAAGTGTAAAAGCCATTCTATGATTAACCTTCAAATTTTTAAAATTGATTTCAATTTCTGGTTGAAAGCTTATAGTTTTTTTATAAAATGATAATTCATCACATTTTTGAGAAAGAAGACTTTCAGCTTCCCACTTGTTATAACATTTTTGTAGTTGTCAAACTTAAAGGGGTACTTGCATATTATCTTGTTGGGTCATTTTAGCCAAATTTGAAAATAAATTTGGAAGTAGTTCAAATTTAAATATTTCCTCATTTTTGCTTGCAATATAATATACATATAAATATTTGCTTGTGCATATAAATAGTTTGCTTCCAAACAAACAAAAAGACAGTAATCATCTGTTTTTTTGCTCCTTTGCAACAATTTGTTTGTCTAATAAAATGTTTCTAATTCCTACCTTGTGTCTCTCGAATGAGATATAAGGTAAATGCCATTTGCATTTAGATTTAACTTTTGTAGAATATTTTCCAGCTTCAGAGTCAACCTTCAAAAGATTATGTTTCTTTTGGGCCTAAAAATTGCTATTATTTAGAACAGGGGTTTCCAACTTACATGAGACCGGGGCCACAATTAAAAACACCAGTCAAATGGTGAGCCGGAACTTTATACAAATTTTATATAGGACTCTTTTTATGTTAGAAGGAACATTAAATATTACTGTCAGATTTTTATCAAGTAGAACAAAACAAAAGTATTGAATTGCAAATTAAAATTAGAAGCAGATTATTAAGCAACATACACGATTATTTCTGTATTTCAATAAATATTTTCTTAGATGCAAAACCCGAGAGGGAAAAAAAATTTCGCCGTTGGTATGTTAAATTTCTTAGAAACGAAAAAATTAGGTTTATTTTTAACGAAAGAAAAGTATTTTAAACAAACCGCCTGTTGGTAACCACTGATTTAGAAGATACAATCTCTATAACTTAAATTCTGTTAAGTTTATTTCTTTTCTTCAGCTTCTTTCCTTTTGTTTTGTACAAATTCTATTTTCTGAGAATGAAATTTTAAATCTTATCATTCTTCTCTCAATTAGTCCTTAAATTTCACCAGTTATAATACGTAAATTTTAAATTTGGCAAGGAATAACATTTTAGTGGTCAACAATAATAATTCAGTTTTGAATATAAAATATTTTAAGAATAAGTAAATCTTAAAAAAACCTGGAAACGCAATAGTGTGGCTACCGATGTTTCTAGACTGCGAATTTAATTTTTAAATAACTCAAAGTTAACAATATTTAATAGACTAGAATAATTCTGCTATATACGCTGCGGATTAACTCTATATAAATGTTAAAGTTATTTCATTTTCTCTATCGCAGGCTTTGCACAAGAATTCCACTATCAATGCCGATTTAATCAAAAATAAATATTTACAAAAAATGTTCTAAAATAGCGACCAATATCAATTAGCCCAGAAAATGGTATATCAGGGGTCTGTCCAGACATTTTGTGAAAGGTCCGTTTTTAGTGAAATTGTGAAAAAATTACTTACATTCTTTCAGCCAGGGTCCGTTTTTATCAATTTGTGCAAATAGGGCAATCAATTATTGCAAAAAACTTTTTCAAGGAGTTTTTAAATTGTAATGAAATACAAGATTATGCTTGGCACTGTAAAATTATAAAAAAAAAACTTAAATTTCCAAAAATAAACTGCAATTGCTGCTTCTAAATTAGAGATGCAACATGCAAATATTTCGTATTTAGCCTATACTGCTGAAAGCAGAATATTCATTTCGGACGAATAATGGAAGAATCGTCTGTTGAAGACAAAACTTAATTCGTTTACATCCATCTTTCTTGTTTTCTGCCCAGGGAAGGATTTATTCGATTAACAAAACAATAATGAAGATAAGCAAATTTGTGAAGTTTCCGATTAAAAGAAAAATCATTTTGTGAAGGATCCGTTTTTAAGTTAAAATATTTTGTGAAGTGTCCGTTTTTATGAAAAGATATTTTGTGAAGGGTCTGTTAATGGACCCAAATTTCTTCTAAACAGACCCCTGTATATTTTTTTAATTCATAACTAATATTTTTCTTATTAAAATATGGGAGGTAAGCATAGATTGATAATGGACTGCACGACGGCAACTACGAATGTGAAACAAAATCCAACTTACAACTTGAGAATATTTTAAAGTCTATTTGTATTCTGGGGATATACAGTGGNGGTCAGGGTGCATAGTCAAATCTTTCAATAAAAAATAAGCACCTTTCAAGTAGGTTTTAAGCACTTAAAAAAATTTTTAAGCACTATTTACATTAACAAAATGCAAAATAATTTTCAAAGACTTTACATGATCATGATAAAATAACTAGTTTCTGACAAGGAACTCTTTTCTCGATTATATTAGCCACTATAAAAAGATTGAGAGATTTATCAGTTCCATTTTAGAGGACGGAAAATGAAGTCTGAAATTGAGAATATTTTGCAAAATGCAGCAGAGTTGCACACGAGAGTGCAAGACTCTCACTGAACCCAGCTCAGTATACGCATATGCCGATCCGCAGGTACTTCATTAAACATGTAAAATGATTAGCATTTTCATACGCTAGGGATAGACGGAACATCAAAATGCATTGCTTGAATAAATTATCTATAGAACGTCAAAATCATGCTTTTGCATAATATGTGGCAAAAATCGATATGGTAAAAAAAATCTCATTTTTGAAAGGAGAAAATTAAGCACTTTTTAAAAACATCCCATAAAAAAAGAGCCTTTAAGGGATTTTAAAAAACAAAAATTTAAACGTAGGACCTTTAAGCACTTTTCAAAAAGGTTACGCACCATGTTACTGTTCTTATGCATGAAGTTAGCCAGTATCACGTTAGCCAGTGTAACGCATTGCAACTAGCTGCCATTTTTATCCCTTCAACTGCAGCCAGTTAGCAGTTTTGATTTTCTTTTAGCATCGTGACATTAGTGGTTCTTAAGTTGCACGTGGGATTTTGAGCTCCAGCATTTTACGTTATAAAATTTATGAGTTCGCTTGTAAATGTTTCTTTCACTTTTTTGCTTTAAAAAACCAGATTTCTCATTTATAATGGTTAAAATCTAATGTGGCTTAAATAGGAAATGTAGTGTGTAGAGCAGTGCAACCCATGAGATGATAATCAAAGATTTTATGTGTTTCGCAGATGCTGCATGCATGACAATGTGGCCTTTTTGCCGAAAATTACTGTAATATAGTAACAAAATGTATTAATAAACAAAGGCACAAAAACAACACAGCCTGAACTTTTTCTGGTTTGAATTGAACTGCATACCCTCCAGAAAAAGAAGAAAAAAAACATAATTTGAAATAAAACACAATGACATTATCTTTTGACAAAATAAATAATATCAAAAAAGAAAATCTTACATTACTAAAATAAATATCAGGGGGGGGGGAAAAATCACAGGTCCTGAGGAAGAATATTATACCTGATAATAGTATTTATAGCTAACATTATTTAACAAATACATAATTATTTAGCTTTAAAAAAATATGAAATTATATATACCTTTGGCATTATTTAGCTTTAAGTCGTCATTTTGCTCACAAACAATGCTTACACCGCTTGTATTGATGAGATCTTGAACTGATTGAGTATCATTTGGACTATCTTGTAATGGTTGAGAAACAATGAATGTAACAGGTAAAGCTTGCCCATCAACAGTGGTGATGGTTGCTGTTGTGCACCCATCAGACAAAATGATGCTTTTTTCTAAACACATTGCATCAACAAATTCAACAGACTGTGGAAGAGAAATATCCGTTTCCATGTTCTCCATGTTGATTGGAATTTTCAATACTTTCACCATTTCTGAAAAAGAAAAGAAAAATGTGGTACATGACTCGTGAATTTAAATTTCCTTCTTAAGTAATCACAAATTTAGAAGATAATATTTAATATTTTCATTTCCTGATTTTATAAATTAAATTTTTTTAATTAATCTCTTAAATCTTGAAATACCTTGGGATTTATACTAACAGCTTTGAATGACTGCTGATTGTTTATTTTGAGTTAACATAAACTTTTATTTTCATTATTTTAACTATTGATCTGAAACGTATAGTCTAGGATATAAATGAAATATAACTAGCACTTTAATATTTTCGGGATGGGCGAGTCATAAATGCGTTTGTATGGAACCAGAAACAGAATGGAAAAAAATAAAAAGTGGTAGCTTAAGTTTGAACAAAGCTATTTTTTATAATTTAACAGTCTTGTTTTTGCTTTCACTTTAATTCTAATATATCTTATTAATGCTAGTTCAAAATGTAACCATATAATTTTTATTTTGAAATAAGTAGTGATATATTTAGTAAATCAAACTATTATTACTTCAGCCCCAAATAAACTGCAATAGAAACATTTTGCCGACCAGTTACATATTTTTTTCACCCTGATTGTCCCCACCCTGAGAATGCATGTATGACTTGCCCGTCTCTAAGAGGTTAAACTAAAATAAACCAAATTTAAGAAGTTTAAACATTTACATATTTATGATTTCACAACATTCCTTGTGATTGTTTTTTCAATTAATGAATGTGAAATTCTCCAAATCTTAATGGCCATTTGTTTTCAAAGACAGCAGCACAAAAACAATTGTATTTAATTTAGATTCATTGACTGTGAAAAATATAGTTAAAAGGGAGATTTAGTTAATGTGTTAATGATTTAAGTTAATTAGTAAAAATTTATTATCTCTTGGTGCAATCAGGTGTAAATGAAACTCACTTAGAAATGTAATAGATGGGAAAGAAAACAGTAACAAATTTTATAAAATCTTAATCACGAAGAAAAAAAAAACCTGTTCTGTTTTGGTATGACAAGAATAAATGCATTAAGTTGGGTGTGATATCTCTTCCTCATGGCTTTGATAGACTGGAGATATTTTCATATCAATACCTGTCCATGCCAACTACAATTGCCGAAGGATTTTCAAATTAATGAATTTATTTTTTATCATTTCTCGAAATACATGAATATGCTCATATAAAACTATTACATATTTTAGTGAACAAGACAGCAAATGGAAAAGTTTGATTTCAAGTTAAAAATATAAATCACTTCAATTGATTTATGAATTGATTAAAATATTCTCAACTTGCTTATAAACTTAAAACTCAACCTGTATTTAAAATTTTGGCAAGAGTTTCACTAGATTTATTATGTTTAAACAAAATAATACCACAAACTAATTAAGAGCAATTTATATAAGTTTTGAAATTCATATGTAAATTTAAATAAAACAATGCACACTTTATAAAACCAAACATCCAATCAACATTAAACAGCACTAAAATTTAAAAAGAAATTGCTTACTATACAAAAAACTGTTTACACATAGTCACCTATAGAGTTCAATTATGCTGTATTAGAATCAGCATTTTTGATAAGGATTAATTAAGTAAACAATTATTGTTTAAATCTTGTTTCTTTTATTAAAATAACTAGTTTAAATTTATTCTAAAAATATTTTTTTTCAATTACATGCATTATATGAATGAAATACAAATATTATAAATACACTTACTCAACTTTAACAAAAGTGTTACAAAATCATGAAAAAATAAGCTATCTCATCGGCAAAAGAAATAAATCAGAACTGTGGCAAATAAATAAATGGATTGCAAACACCGATGACAATTTGTACGATGTCATTTTTAAAAAAAAAATTCAGAACTTTGACTATATAATATATAAATATTCAATATTATTAAACTTCAGACAAATATAAGATAAACGCATTTATCTTTATATATTCTATATATATATGGTAAACTTAACAGGAATCAAAACAACGTTTCTAATAAGCAATTGAAAAGCAAAAATGTAAACAAATATGAACACAACAATATCTGTATTAATTGAGATAGATTATCTAATGGCGGATGAGCTCAAGTGTTTTCTAAGCATTCATAATACCACAAACTGTAACTAATGGATTTATAGACTCGAAATCTGGAATATACGAGCAGAAATGATAAAACGGAACTAAATCAAGTAGGTATAGAAAGTTGTCCGAGAAATTATCTAGTTTCGAGGCTAGTTTGCGGGATTTTTACTTACATAAATGTAATTATTTTGTTCTACATTATGCACAAAACACCAACAGGAAAAGGATGTAAATTGAATTTTAGATTAAATTCTATGAAATTACAGCATAGAAATTAAGTGTTTAAAGCAATATACTTTTGTTATAAATTAAAAACTATCATTCAAACTTATGCGACAATCTCGACCCGATTCAACCATATTTTTACCACCATTAAATAATAAATGACGTCAAATAATGTAAGATGTTGCCACTTCTCTTAACAAAAAAGTAAGATAAATTATGTATATTCTAAAAGTTACATTATTGCTGTACTTATTCAGCGCCAGATTGAATCTGCGTGAGAATGTTACAAAAATTGAAACAAGCCGAATATAAATCAATCATGTTTTATTTTGTGAAATATGATATGACTATGAATTTGTGGCTCAAAAAAAATTTCGATCAATTGATTTGAAAATTGATTTTTATTTTTTTTAAGTTCCAGGCAAGGAGCGTGTTTAGCGCACGGGAACAAGGTATCAGAGGCTCTCTGAATAGTAATTTTAAAAGAAAAATTAGGCTCTTAATAATTATTTAACACTTAATAATTACTAAAGTGTAAATTTATTGAAAAAATACTTAATAATTACATGTACTTAATTATGTAGGTATAAAAGAGTAGTTAAGTCTAGAACCATTTTGATCGATTATTTTACCGAAGAGAACATCTCGCCGAGTTGTTTTTTTATAAAACGGAAGTTCATTTAGCAGTTTCGATCACTAAATTATAATTTAAAGAAGTATTAAAAGTAATATAGCGAAAACATAATTTTTTACCTAGAACGTAGCCAGGATTACTTTTGCAGGAAGAGCTACTAAGATCTCATACTCTCTCGTAATTTAAGAGGACACCACACCGTGGAAGAAAAATTTCGTCGCAAATTCTCTTCTTCCTTCATTACTAATTTAAAATTTAAATTGTAGAAAAAGTGAGTTCAGACAAACCTAGAGTAAGCCAAGAAGTTTCAAACAATGAAAAGAAAATTTTAAAATATACAAATGAAAATAAATTATGAGAAGATAACTTAAGATTAATACAACGGTGAAGTTCTCTTCTAATAATTTGTTTGAATTTTAATATTGCAAAGTATTTTTTTCAGCCACTTTAACTTCATGACTTACTCTTGGTATGCCTGAACTTACTTTCTCTTTCCTTCAAATTTTAATTCAGTAATGAAGGAGAAAGAAAATTTGTGACGAAAACTTTCTTCCGCGGTATGGCGTCCTCTTAAGGATTAAATAAGGATTATACTAAATTTTTTATTGTTCCCAACATGTTAAATTTTGTTTTGAGTAAAATAAAAGAAACCTTTATGTTTTCTATTTGCATATGTATATTTAAATAGTTTAGAAATTTAATATCTGGATAAATAAAATTAATAGCTTGTTTGTTTCTTTTAAGAGAAAAAAATTGTGATTTTCATTCAAGAAAATGCTGTGAAACATTTTATAAAATTGCATTAGTGTACATTAATACTATTTAGAATTTTCTTCATTGTATTCATACTGGAACTATGATATTTATTGAATCTGATTTGCTAGTTTATGAAAATGCGATCAGATAGAGTCAAGCTCTATCTGATATTATCTTAACTACACTTCTCAGAGAAACCAGAAACTCCTTACTTTATTTACTAAAACTGGGCACCTGGGCAGCGCAAAGTACCTATCCCATACAACTGGAAATTTACAAAGAATTTGAAATAATAACATTTTGAATTTAGCAGTCGATGCGGTAACTAATCAGAAAAACTCCTTAAATCATCTTTACCATGTATATTACAGCACAATGTATTTGCTATTGTTATTACTTAGTAATTAGAAAAATCCTTCACCTTTTTGCTGCTTCCCTGCACTAGCACGAAATTTATTTGTAATGATAATGTCTTTGACGAATAAAAACTAAAATTGTTAAGCTTTTAAATAAAATGTTTATCATATGAGCTATTTAATGCCATCAAACCTTTTAAATATGAGCTCTAATCTTGTTTGAATTGGCTAGTTGAATATCTAGTTTATTTTGTTATCAGTATTGAATTGTTTTTTTTGTTTTTTTTCTTAATTTTATGAAGAAAACGGGTGAAATTTCGTTTTAACCTTCTTTTGATTTTTTTTTTCAAGTTTAATTGACTTTTATAATTATGTATACTTATTTGAACATTTATAATTTTTAACGTGATATATCTAATTTTATATTTGAAATCAAATATCTCATTCCATAAATTGACTTTTAATATCAGAATTTATCATTTTGTTTATTATTTAATGTAGAAATTGCGTTGCCATTGTATTTTGGAGGAGAACCTCCCTCCTAGACGAAGTCAGTTTTGTTAAGATTGGCAACGAGTAAGGTATCTGCTCTAAGACTATTTGTTATGTTATGATTGTTTTGCTAAGTTTAAATATTAGTTTTTTAAATTTCTTTCATAAGTCCGCGGAAACCGAACCTCGGTTATGACACTAGCGCAGCAAACAGGATATTTTATGGATTTATTTATTATCTTATGGATTTATTTATTTTATGGATTTATTTATTATATTCGCACTGTTACTATTCTAATTAAAAGAGGACGCTCCTTGCGGAAAGCAAGAAAGGCTTCCAGACTATCATTTTTGAAATGGGTAAAGCGAACGCTGAAAATTTGAGCGCTGTAAGGAAATTTTGTGAAAGAGCTTTTAAGTTCGCTGACGAAAGAAATAAATCGTAAAATTTAAAAAGTCAAGAACAAAAACGCAAACACGATTTAGAAATGCAAAAAATGGAAAGATATTAGAAAAAAGTAGAAGGAAAGAAAAAGCAAAAAGGGGGAAGAAAACAAAAGTACTCAAGAAGTAGACTTCGAATTAGAAGAAACTATGTTTACAAAATGAAACAAGACATAGTGAAAATGAGAGAAGCGAAACCGATTAACCAAAACTGAATTGATTAAGCCGAAATCGGAACTTCGTAATATTCTGCAAAAATTTTAACAGGAAGTGAATGACATCAGTTTATACCAGAAACTGTTANATGTTTATTCAGAGAAAGTACGTTTTTGTGTCTGATTTCGTAACTTAATTAATAGTTAGCACTAATTAATTAGCGTATTTGAGGTCACCCCCAGGAACCATTAAGATTGACACTTAGTTCGTGAAAATCGGATCATTAGAACGAAAGTTATTCAGGGTGATATCTTTTTTTTTTGCGGACTGTACATTGATACTATTTAGAATTTTCTTCATTGTATTTATACTGGAACTAGGATATTTATTGAATCTAATTTGCTAGTTTATGAACAGGCGATCAGATAGAGTCAAGCTCACTCTGATATTACCTTCTACACTTCTCAGAGAAACTCCTTAAACCATCTTTACTATGTATATTATAGCAATGTATTTGCTATTTTTATTACTTAGTAACTAGAAAAATCCTTAAATTTTTTGCTGTTTCCCTGCACTAGCACGAAATTTATTTGTAATAATAATGATTTTGACGAATAAAAAATAAAATTGTTAAGCTTTTAAATAAAATGTTTATCTTATGCGTTATTTAATGCCATCAAACCTTTTGAATACGAGCTTTAATCTTGTTTGAAGAGACTAATTGAATATCTAGTTTATTTTGTTAAATTTTATTTCTAATTTTGTCCATTTTATTATCGAAAATTTAGCTTATTTTGTTAGCAACATTGAATTGTTTTTTAACAAAAATTATACGAAGAAAACAGGTGAAATTTCGTTTTAACCTTCTTTTGATTTTTCTTTAAAGTTAAACTGGCTTTTATAATTATATTTATTTGAACATTTATAATTTCTATCGTGATATATCTTATTTTATATTTGAAATCAAATATCTCATTCCATAAATTGACTTTTTAATCAGAATTTATAATTTTGTTTATTATTTAATTTAGAAATTGCGTTGCCATTGTCTTTTGGGTGAGAACCTCCTTCCTAAACGAAGTCATTTTTGTTCAGATCGGCAACGAGTAAGGTATCTGCTCTAAGATTATTTGTTATGTTATGATTGTTTTGTTAAGCTTAAATATTAGTTTTTTATATTTTTTTATAAGTCCACGGAAACCGAACCTCGGTTATGACACTAGCGCAGCAAACAGGATATTTTATGGATTTATTTTATTATCAATTATATTCGCACTGAGCTGTTACTATTCCAATTAAAAGAGGACGCTCCCTGCGAGAAGCAAGAATGGCTTCCAGACTATCACTATTGAAATGGGTAAAGCGAACGCTGTAAGCAATGGAAATTTCGCTGACGAAATAAATAAATCGTAAAATTCAGAAATTCAAGAACAAAAACGGAAACATGATTTCGAAATGCAGAAAGTGGATAGATATTAGAAAAATGTAGAAGAAAAGAAAAAGCAAAAAGGGGAAAGGAAAACAAAGTACTCAAGAAATAGACTTGGAATTAGAAAAACTGTGTTTACAAAATGAAGCAAAACATAGTACAAATGAGAAAAGCGAAACCGATTGATCAAAACTGAATTGATAAAGCAGAAATTGGAGCTTCGTAATATTTTTCAAAAATTTTAACAGGAAGGGAATGACATTAGTTTATACCTGAAACTGTTCGAAAAATAAGCAAAACAAGTTTTTTAAAAAAACTAAAGGGTATTGCATTTAATATGTTTACTATCATACAATGTTGTACAAGTAATCACATGAGAAGAAGAAAGAGCAACAGATGATTACGATAATGTAAAAGAACTTTTGATTCAAAATGATTCTTGAGAAATTCCAATAATTCTTTACTAAACATTAGAAAAAAAGTGGAAACAAATTTATTCAATTTTTGACACTAACAGAAAAATAATTTCAATGAATTGATAAGAGGAATAGAAATTACAATTTAAAGACTTAGTGATTCCCGATCAAATTAGAGAAAAGTTCCTTTAGAAACGAAAGAACACTGCTTCGATGTGTGGTCGAATTTTAAAACTCCGTATGATTTA